AAAATGTACAATGTAATAATTAGTATACGATTATATGATAATAAAGGATCATTGCATTGCAGGAATAAGTTGCGACATTTCAACGAGTTGGATCATGAATTGCGAATGCGTCTTTCAAAAAGTCATCGAGCTGCAACCCAGTATATGGAGCAGTTTCTTTCACCCCTTGGGCAGGTTATCGCTAGAAAAGTACAATTTGTTGCAGGTGCAATCTGCATAGTGTTCCTTTTGCTAGGTCTGTGGGATGAAGATGTTGAAACTGAAAAATGAGTTCGTAAAAGAAAACGTGAGTGATTCTCCTTTTTCTTCATCAATTTAGCATGAACAAAAAACAGATTACAACAAATATAAAAAAATAAAACTAAGGATGGAGTAAACAAGTGAAATGAAAAATTTTAAGGTTTAAAATGAAACAGTTGCATAGTTTCATATGTTGTTTTTCCCTCCCATAAATAAATATATTAAATATACGCATGCACAACAAATGAATTCGTATCATTAAAAGGGATTTTGTGGGTAAAAAGGATATGGAAAATTCTCACAAAACCCAGCATCTTTACCCGGACGGGGTAGAACTGGGGAAGTGTTTTGAGACTACACAAGGATCTGACCGTTCAGATTAAGGGGCAGTAGAGGCGACAACACATTATCCCTTGCTCGAGAATTCTGAACACGCAACAAAATTAAAATAATCGGATATGAAAGCCTCGAATCAAACTAGGCATCTGGTAGAAAAGTTTTCAAGATGAAGAAATGAAGATTATGTGAGAATTAATACGACTAGTTACCTATCAATTTTCATTCATATTAACAGCTTTTTTCAGGCAGCATGCGATGACAACTGAGATTCAATTCAGCAAACCTCAGTGCGCAAAATGTTTATCATATATTGGCTTACGGTACCATTGCCCCTTTTCTAATTCTGGCAAACAGATTATTTATATGGGAATTTCGATTTTCTTTTCCTTCTCCCACATTACGTTGATATAAAATGAAAAACTTATTAAAATGACAGTTGTAATGGAAAATTATTCTCCGAAAAGTTACAAAACATTAACCTTACAATCAGTACAAGAGCCATTAGGCGAGAAAGGCCTTGTCGCGGTCGCAGTATCCACAGCCAACATGCAATCAAATCGGTGTAACGTGAGGTTAAATTTTTCGTATGCTTTATCCACTCTCTTTAAACTTCGATCAATCTGAAGAAGAAAACGAGGTCAGCAAAGGAATATCTTACCAACTCCCCACGTCTTCTACTTCTAATTTTTGTTTCCTCAAAAATTTTCACGCAATTTTATAAAAAAAAAGAAAATGATGCGAAATTCTCACTTACTCAGAAAACAAGAGAGAAAAAACCAAAGATCTGAAAAGAAACGACCAAAGGCACACAATTCTCAAGGGTGAACACTAATTATTTGTCCTTTAGCCAAGAGAATAATTTGGATATGTAATCTCAAATCGATTAGAACAATAGCAAATGATCGAATATTAGAAAAGAATGATATGGCTCCAAAAAAAAAAAAAAAATTTAATTGGGAAGAAAATGCCAAATAAAAGAATGTATCCTATTTTTAGACTGAAAAACTAGTTGTCCAGCAAGCGCCGAATTCCGAATTTTAGTTGTCAGAACAAAAACACCACAGAAATATATCTTCTGTAAAAAATTTTGAACTTTTGCCTGAAATCATATTCCAAACAATGCGAGTAAAGTAATTTCAGCAACAGGTCTCTCTAAATTTTCAAAACTTTTCATAAAAATTCTACATCAAAAAAAAAGAATTATTAAACCTTTTGAAAGCAAGAAAGGCACTGTTGAGCACCTGCTGGAGCTAAAATACAGTCTTGTCCTTCAACATTTGCACGAAGAAATTTAGCTTGCATTCGTAGATCGGTTTCGCTATTGACGTATCTAGGCGTGAGTCGAAATAACTGCGCTGCTTTGATGTTATTTTCTTCTAAACAATCGCGATTGAAGATGGAAATTTTACGAAGGAACTGATACCGTGCCCAAGGTGCTAATTTACACAAATCATTGGGTGCCACTGAAGACCAAATGTAACAAACAGAATCTAGTGTCAATCCTAGTCGTACAGAAGTGGAGCGGGAGTGTCTCAGGAATGGATTCAAATGAGCAGATGTTGAATCATCAGTAGTGATGGCACTGGTGCTGATGGATGTTAGATGCTTAGATGACTGCTCTAAAAGCAGCATATCTGAAACATCATCTTCCCTATGCTTCATGTCATTCAGGTTCAGAAATGATTCACTGACGGTTGCACGCGCACACAATCCTGTCGCTGCAAAACAAGCTAACAGCGAAAATGCGTGCCAATAAATGAATAATTTTAAATTTGCGTACAAAATGCAGCGGCTTCGTTGCTGATAGCGATAATGATGAGTGGTGAAAGTTTGGGTACGAATAGATGATGGCAATGAAGATGAGGCAGTGTTGCACTGTTGCGTGGAAGTACGCTTGAGGTTACGATATGACTGGTAAACGATTCTCTCTTTGCTACAACAGCAACATTCCTCTTCTTCGCTTGCTAATAAATTATTTTCATGAGACCTCGAGGTCAACAGTGATCTTTCATTCTTCTTTACAAGTAAGTATTTACCCGCTTGTAAACAATTGTCAAATTCTATTATAGCACTTCTTACTTTTGAACCACTTCTACTGTGCAGCTTTTTGGTAGCTTGTTGTTGATCACGGTACCAATGATACCTCGTATTCCAATTTACTCGCCTTTGTTCGTTTAACCAGAAGTGGGTGCTATCAGCAGGAGAATCGCTTAGCAATTTCGTACTCTTGTCATATTGTACTGTATTGCATGATGATACTACACAAGCAATTGCAGCAGTTTTTACATCAGTTTTTACAATACTCTCGGCAACTGCGTCAGCAGAAGTTGAAGTAACTCCGACTGCAGCACTGCTTCGTCTCTTTTCTTTGCCGGCATGCATTGTCGTGGCGCGCTTGCGCGCGCCTATACATATTATCGCATTTAAACAATTAGCGACGTAGCCGTTGAAGTTGCGGACGTTAGTGCAGTTGAGCTGGCTGTTGTAGATTGTTGAACGCAGACACGCAACTGCGACAATTGATTTCGAACGGCGGTTTCAGCGATCGTTGTTTTGATATTCTTTTTGCGAGGACTTTTAGCAGGAGTAGTCGGCGTGCAACGTAATGCTATGAATTCAATAATTTTGATGTAAATTTATGAAACTTAAAATAGAAAAATCCAATCAGCACTGTCTTGTGAATAACTGTAGGATATTACAGTGAAGAAAGGAATTTATATTAATAAAATAGAAAATGAATTAGGAATCCAATAATCAGTGATATGTTGCTGGAAGCGAACTCTGTACGGTCAATCAGCTAATACATGTAAGTGTTTATTATCACCTGAAAGTAAAAATTAAGTCAAATTCGCCTAAGAAGTTCACGATGTAAGCGAGATCAGAGTTGCGCTTCATGACTGGTATAGTAAATGACAAAAGCTAAACTATCCTGGTCAAATTTTCCTAGAAGAATCTTGGGATTTCCCGTTAAACAACAGCATGGCTTAGATCAAATAGATCTGAAATTTAGATAACGGTTGTGATGCAGGTAAAATTGATTAATTTACTTGATCACAATTACTATCAAAGTTGTCCTCTCATTCAATTCATTGCGTGTTCGTTGGTAATCTGATCAAGTACCGTACATAAACTTTTTTTTTGAAGCAAGATTAGAATGTTCATCACTTCCTTTTTTGTTTTAAAAATGCCGTCAAAAATTTGGCCCGCCAGATTAGCTTGACGAACAGAATGCATGAACATCTTAAGAATCATGTCCCATCTTAGTAATAGATTCTATTCGATTCTATCCAACCACTACTAATATAATGTAATGAGATATTCAGGTGGTATTCAGCTAACAAAGACTTCGTACACTACGGAGAGGTATTGTGTACCAAGCAATAACTGCGATAATCAGACATAAAACTTTACACCTTTTTTTTTATTCAAGAATCCAGAGCCATGCATTCAGAGATCAATCAGAGAAGCAAATAAACTTATTCATCAATTTCTCACAATATATGGCAATCTATTTATTATAACCAGGACTATTGTATTACAAATAAAGTGTCACAAATGATTATCATTTACTATTACGGGTGAATTTTCCAAAACAGTGAATATTTTTCATACTTCATCGGGAAAAAAAAATGGACCACATGACACTGACATATTTATTTCAAAAAAAATGTGACTGAAATATTTTGTTCCATATGTGGTGATATGTGGATGACGAAGATATCTCGAAGTTTTATAAAAGTCCTCCATGCTATCCCCTCGATTTCACACCCCATTCTCAATCATCTATAATGCTTGTTTTAAACTGATATCTGAACTTAACGGATTTCAATTGTGCTGAACAGAAGTTTGTATATTTAAACTATTATAAACGTAATTTTGAGTAATAGTAAGATAATATGATAACGGAAAGCACACAGTTTGTTTCTGATGCTATATACGATGACAAACTTTACAAATACTTCACTTTTCGTTTCCAGCAGTTTTTTCCTTTCCTCCTTTCTTACTTTTTGCTGATAATTTTTTAATTAACTTCAAACACTGAAAACCTGAACTGATCAGCCGTATAGATCGCAAAGAGCGAATTTTTCAACTATTTTTACTTGCATTAAATTCAAGGCTGCCATTAGTGAGATTGGTACAGCTAGAAATGAACTATCTAAAAAATATACCAATGTTTGACACAAACGATAGGATTTTAAAATATACAAGGAATATGTGACACCTTTTTTATGGAAAGATACTAATTTGAGAAAGTTTTGATGTAGTATAGTCGAAAATTAATCGATATCTGATGTGCATTCTGAGGCAAGAGTTCTCAAAAAACATTTCTGACATTTCTAAGAAATCGTATAATCGATGGTGCAAAGACAGAAACTGGTAGCCCAAGTAAAAAAATCGCATCAGTGGACATTACGCCTATCGAACAGATAGTTATGAGTTATGAGATCGAACTCATTCCACTCTTAGCACATCTCGTATGAAAAAATTGTACAAGGAGAAGCAGAATAAAAGAATAATGATGTACTGACTGCAATTGAATTTCAAGGGTCAATCTTCTCCTAGCTTAACATACATGATATGCAAGTTACATGCATGTAGGATATAAGTAAGGTTTATTGTACTTCCTATTTAAAAAGACTCGTTTTCCTGAGTTTTGAAAATGTTAAAAAGGCAAAACGAGTCCAAAAAATCAATGAGTAATCGAAAGGAGGACAGCAACTGGATGCCACTCAGCTTTGATGCAAAAGCAGAAGGCTGAGGTAGGTTCGGGAAGAAGGGAAGGGGAGAAGAGTTCACTCCAGGATGATGAATGGCCTAGCGGAGAAATGGTTATTTTCAGTGTAATGCATGCCCGGGACCCATTTCAGCAGCTTTTGAAATGTCACTAAATGTGCGGCTGAGCGACTCAAAAAAATACTTTCACTTAATAAAATAAGCAAACTTTTGCATCGGCTTTTATATATAGAAGAATGAGCTTACTTATGAGGTGCCTATTCTATGCCTTAGTTATCGCAGCATATCCAGCATCCTAATCAATATTCTGCATCTTCCAGCATTAGAAGAATCGAATATAGTCAAACAATAGGAGCAAGTGATGGAACTCGACATTGCTAGGTCATATACGGATACAGATAGTGATAGCCAGAAGGTTAGAAGGTATCACGTCTAAAAGTGATTCTCAATCATTCCCGGCATACAGCGTGTTGGAACATTCTGAACTTACCTACTGCTCTGGTGGATTCTGAGTGGCGAATAATTTGTTTAAATATTCAAATTTCTTGATATAAAAGCAGCGCTCTAAGCGAGAAGCACAGCAAACAGCAAAATTTGAAGTCTCTTGAGACATTTTGAATGGTGAAATGAAACAAAATCCCTCAAAATCATCGAAAATATCTCATCACCTGTGTGTGCAAACGTATGCATGTCTGTGTATGTATGTGGGTGAGTGCGTGGGTGAGTGCATGCGTGTGTGAATGCGTGTTTATGTGTTATGCTATAAGGAAGAGGGATGAAATAGAACAAGGGGAAGTGGGGGAGGCGCAATCCGTTCCTGAACTGAGAAGGGAGGACAGCTTATCCCTCTTGCATGGCTGTCAGCAGCACTTCAGGCAAACTAACGGTTCAGCTTATCTCTCGGATTTATTCATACTCTCTCACGGTTGCTTCCGATGTGACGGGTTACAATGAAACGTTCTTTTACATTTTGATCACGCAAAAAACTTCTCTTTCCAGTCTTCGGAAGTTCTGAAATTTCAAACCATCAATAAAGCGGTCCGAACATATTTGATAACCTTCTTTCCTTTCTTCTCCCTCTCTCGAGGGACTTGATGTTGTGACAACATGTAATGAGTTGTTCCAAAATGAATAATGTAATGAAGCATCTTCAGTAAACAGTTTAAGAAAATTTGAAAAAGTTATTCGTGATTCGACAAGTTCCGCGGGAAAAAGTGTTCAGGGAAGTGAAACTTGCTATCCTGAATATTCAAGCTCTTTACCTATATAGATGTCTGTACATATTTTCGAGCAAGAATAAGTTTAAAAACTCAATCTACGATCTGTGTTACGAGTAAATAACTGTAAAGACTAATTTCCGCTGTGTGAAATAACAACAAGTGTTATTCTCCATTTCGAACGAGTGAATGACATAAGAGGTGATGGCATTCAGATGAAATTCAATTTATAGATTCATTACTTCTTCCTTTTCTTGGGATTAACTGAGATTAACTTGATTTACTGTTGAATGGTTTCAATAATTCTCCAAAAATTTCTTCAATCGCTGCTTGGCTTTATCGAATCAATAGTATTCAGGAGTATTTATCATATTCATACCTGATCCTAATCAGTCTTACATATATTTCAAATCTTTGATTTGGTTCTTGACAGTAGTGAGTGCAACAGGACAAGCATTCAGTACTTTTATGTGATCCATGCTACTTAATTACTTAGTAGGAGCAAAACTTCTAATAAAATAATCAAAAGTATTAATGAGCAGCCGTGGAAAGTATAAAAAAGAGAAAGAATGTAGAATGGTTAAGGTTATGGGAAAAAGAATTTGACCTCAAACACTATATAAATAGTCGGGGAAGCCTTTTGTTCCTGAAAACATTTTTTGGTAAATAAACTAACTTCACCCAGCTTAGGTCCAGTTTGTCCAGTCTAGTTTGAAAGGACTGTTGAAGCCCCAAGTTTTTTTTCATTCATGTCACGATATTGGCGTACTCTTTGGATCTTCAATATTGGAACTGTGTAAACAGAACAAGCAATCTGAGTTGGTGAAGTGGATTGAGGCGAAAAAAGGAGATAAACGGGACGCATTTTGTGGACAAAGGATCCCCGGGGTATTCACAAACTTTTATCCAGCCAAATAAATCATAGGTTTGCTGTCCTATCCTTAAGTTGCCCAGCCTGATATAATCAGCCTATTCTGTTCAAACAATCTTTGAATTTCACTATCACACATCTATTTTGTTTTGCATAACATGAACATACGAAATGATTCCATTTATTCTGCTCTAAGAAAAGATCGTTCAAATTGCCCTGATATAGTGACGAATTTTTCCACGAGATGTGAATGGTTATGATATAACCTGAATGAAATTATGATGACTCACGAGTGACTCATCCATTCATGACGAGATCGTCGGTGCTGTAGCAATGCATAAAATATAAATGTACTAAATAAATGAAATAATCGTTAAGAAATTGTCCATATGGGAAATAGAAGACATCATCAATGGCTGTTAAAATCGAATATCAAAAAATCTTGAAGTCTTCTTCTTAAAAACCCTTCTCAAAAAATCTTTTTAAGAACGACAGACTAATGTCTACCATTAAATTGCAATTATAAAATGGCGATACAGTTAGGTTGTACTAAATTCAAAGGGAAGAGAGACAGGAAGAATTGTCAAGCCGTTACGATATCAACACGTTGCGATGCACGTGGGTTTTTCTCTCCACAGAAATAACAGAATTCGAAATTGTGTTGTTTCATCTTCCGAAAAGAAGTAACAATATTGCTGTTAATAATACTACAATATGGTGTGATATTGGTGTTAATAACACTACAATATGGTATCACTTCTGATGAAGCATGTTAATTATGTCAACTGCACAATGGATGCAATGATACTGCATGTTCGGATCAGCTGATTGGTAAATGTGACGAGAAATATAAAAACGAAAAAAAATACATCAGTTTGTCTTACACTTTCTCAGCTTATCTCACACTTCCATCAATTAGCAGGAAAATTCGGAGTTTTCCGGGAAATGGCTACCTTCTATCAGAAAAGTTAAGATGGTAGTTCAACTCTAATAAATTGTAAAGTAACGGCAGTCTTTTCTTTACTGACAAATTTTTAAGAGTACTACAAGCAGGTGGTACCGAGATGTCTTAACCCACCTTTCATGCAACACGGAGCGTTAAGTTACGTCGCATATGCATTTTTTCAGATTGATCCATAACAATGCTTCATTGAAACGTAAAGAGTTAATAAAAGAAGCAATAAAAGGCGCACTAGACAGAATTTTGGAATCGATATTTTATAGCACATTCGGTTGAACTCAAGTGGATTGGATAAATATAAATATCCGAGTAAAGCGCAAATTGAGGCAGCAAATGATATGCGATCAATTTGTCAACATTGGACTTACGTCACCGCTTTTTCATCAAATGATGTATTTTTTTCCGTCGTAAGCAAACTTAACAAAGTTATAATATCATGCCGAAAAATCTAAATTGCCATAACTGATTGTTCATTCAATGTAGCAAGTTAGCGAAACGCGAACCGTTTCTCCTTCATTAGGTTGTCGAACTATAGCTGGTTTTAATGAGCCAATAAATGTCAATAGCTTTTTTGATCTCTTGAGGCTCTAGGCTTCATTGTATTGCTGTCAATGAACAGATATGAAAAAATGAAATTGAATATGTCTGAGCTTATTGTTTAATAATATTATTATTACTATTATCATTATTTTTTTGATTAGCAAAGTTATAGTTGCGGAAGCAAAGGAATTCTAAAGATTTGAAAATAATTTCACTGGCTGATTTTTAATTGCTTAATAAATTATGAATTATTTAATTATAAGCGATTACGAATGATTCCTGTCAATTATCAAAATAATAGCACCATTTTCCGCGTATTGAAGAAGAGAGTTTCCTGATGCCAAGCTCATTAATAATGATTACAAGAAACTTAGCCTTCTCGTGTGGAATGAATTTTAAGATGTTGGAGAATTTGTTAGATGGAAACACGCTTTTTCAATTTTCAAAGCACTACTACGGATTTTACTGCTTTACAAGCTGGCAAGTGTCCTTAATAATTTAAAATGCGTTCCTTTGAATTCAGTGATGAATGAATAAAGTAATTAGAACTTTTTGCAAATAATTATAAAGTACCCAAGGGCAAAGTCCATAAATTGAATTTCCTTCTCGTATAGCAATACACTTCATTGACAAAAAACGAGTTGAGTCGATTTTAATATGAGATAATACCTTCATTTACAAATTGCAATCAATTACATTAATTCCTTGCCAGCTAATAAAGTGTAGTAGTAACAGTAACATTCGGCATACTGGATCCCTGAATTTCAGTCAGTTTCATTTCTTGGATTTGTGGAATTCAGTAAATTCACTTCTTTCTAACAATAAAACATCTAGGAGTGGGTTGCGTATGTGGCATACCAAAGGTCGATGAACAAGACGGAAAGTTAGTGATTTGAGAATGCTCCGAGATTAATTGCAAGAGAAACATTCATTAGTGGAGAGGTGATTCATCATATACAACAGTAGACTAAAGGCGGTCGATGAAAAAGTGTTGCTTGTTGTCATCTTTGAGATAAGCTTCAAGCTGTCTTTCCTCTCCTTGTCTTTTTCTTCCTTTCGAAAACAGAAAATAAGTGGGTGCAACAACAGGCTCAATACCAATAGTTTGAATGAAAATGGACGTATATGTTTAGAATGGAAACACAATGACATATGGATCTGTATAGGAGGGAGGGAAGCGATGACAATATGAAATAGACGTTTGCAAAGTTTCATTCTTCAATGTTTAAATTTGAATTTCACAAACACACATACATTGATCTACAAGAGAGTGTTTTACAGCATTATTTTTCCCATGTGGAATGCTATGTATCGTGTTGATGATTACATTACAAATGCATACGAGTAGTACAGAGTGATACAGCATAAGCATTATTCAAATCGAGTCTCTGGTAATATGTACATGTATTTCATTTGTTAACAGTGAAAAGAGATTCGAAAAACTTCTCTTCGACAAGTCTGTTCATCCTGCTACTCCAAGGTTTCTACGATATTTGTATCTGTATCTTCAAGGAAAAAGTATGTGGAAGTGCAAAGTTCTGCGAGAAAATTGAAAAATGACAGGAAGTAATGACCATCAGGAAGCACTGAAACGTTTACTTAAAGTAGGTATAAAGTTTAAATAAGTGCAAAACCTCTTGACATCGCTTTTATAAAGAACACAATTTACAGCGAATGTTTTCGTAGCAATAATGGTCATGGTAATTTTAGTTGTGGTGATTTCACTTTCGATGAAAGTGGTTAAATGCAAATATGAAATAAGTCGATCGATCATATATACTTCATAAGGTACTTACAAGAAGGCAAGGGAATTTTAAAAGAAAGTAAAACGGTCCCGGTTACGCTGGTCTTCTTCAAAGAGAGAGAAGTGCTCAAGGCTTGCATGAAAGGAGAAAGATATATCTAGAGATGCAGTTCAGAGTAAGCACATTATTTGTCGAAGCCAGTAAGCATCAAAATGTTTTCTGAAAACCGTGCATGTGTATGTGTGTGTATGTGTATGCGCGTGTGTGTATGTGCGTATGTGTGTGTAAAGTTTGCAGTGGAAGGAAGAGGAGCTGAAAGAAATGGTAGGCAAAATGAGGCAAAATGGACTGGGCCGGCGTCAGCAGTGAAAGAGGCCAAAAGTTGGAGGAGAGAGGTTAGACCTATTTAGTAGTCATCTGTTGGTGCCTCCATCCCATCAGTGGCTTCTTCACTGACTACTCTCTCTTGCAGTTCCATCCTCTTTTTTTTTAATGACTAAGTTAAGCATCCTCTAACGGACTATTATCCCCATTCCATTCAACCATGAGGCCATCCGTGTCATCCAGAATAATCAGACTACATGAGCATATCTGCACATTAGTCCCATGGCTGGATTTAAGCCGCGATGCTCGATTTCCACTCGCACTATCTCCATACTCCCCCTCTAGACCCTTCATAACTTCACCGGGATGGATATAACTTCTGCTTTGCCGTCATCGTCGCTTTTTCGCATCCTCTACCACCAGTTTCACTTCCAACCAGGCATTGCCAAGCAGCAGCACTTCAAGGAAATGCAAATCTTGCTCAGTATTTTTTGGGAGCATAAGCTGTTCTGCGTCACATCCACAACTTCAGAATGTTTGATGAGAGTTTTGAGGACGTCGTCGAAATGGTCATTTTCTTTCCCATTTCCCATGCCTAACACAATTTAGTCATTTTCATTTCAGACTTATGCACACACACACACACACACACACACACACACACACATGCGCATACACACACACACACACACACACACACACAC